GAAACTGGATCCTAGCAGTGAGGAGACCCAGACGCTGGTTCGAGAGTACTTCTCCTGGGAGGGGGCCTTCCAGCACGTGGGCAAGGCCGTCAAAGAGGGCAAGATCTTCAAGTGAGCCAATGGCTTGTCACCTCGCTGCCTGCACCTGCCCTTCGGGGGGAATAGGGGTCATTAAAGGAAACTGAACATTGAAAAAAAAAAAAAGAAAAAAGAAAGCAAGTATTTACTTTAAAACTCTTATTCTCACTGCTAAGAGTGGTTAGATGGGAAAAGTATCCTTAATCTAGTTTTGGCTTAAGGTTTGACTCTCCACAGTATGTTATGTGCTATTAAGTTGCCTGCAACTCATAGTGACCCTATGTACAACAGCTCTGAACCCTGCTTTATCCTGTGCCAACTTCACAAAACAGATGTGTTTCTGACACATCTATCCCTATTACCCCAGTCACTGAATCAATCTATCTCATTGAAGGTCTTCTTCTCTTTCTCTGTCCCTCCATTATTTCAAGCATGATGTCCCTCTCCAAGGACTGGTCCCTCCTTGCAACATGCCCAAAGTACGTCAGATGATGCTTCAGAATTCTTGTCTCCAAAGAGCATTCTGGCTTCACCCTCTCCAGGACAAACCTGTTTGTTCTCCTGGCAATCCATGGTGTATTCAATACTTTTCTCTAGCACCACAGCTCAAAGGCATCAACTCTCTTTCTATCATCCTTAATCCACAGTATATCACTTGTTATATTTAAGTGAAAAGTCTGGGTAGTAAATATAAACTGTTAAGTCTGTCAGATACTGTTTGAAAGCTAAGCGTCCAAATTAAGACAGACTAAGAAGAAGGATTGGTCATCCACTTTTGAAATATGTCAGGCCTTTGAAAACCGCATGTACACTAGAACACAGAGTAGAAGAATAGACATGGCAACTGAGGCTGAACCCTCAAATTTGAAAAATGAAGGTAGGTGTGTTAGAGTCAGTTGAGACTGGCTCAGAATAGGTCAGGCTTCAGCGCCATTGTACATGGTGTCTCTATGAGTTTTAGGTGACTTGATGGCACCTAACAAAAACAACAACAAATAGTAGCTGAATGACTTCCCCAACTTGACTGCAAAGTCCCAGATATATATGAAGGAGAAATCATAGGCAGGTTGTGGTAAATTTAGGCATGGGGAGGGGAAAAGACAAAAGAAGAAGACAGGCTCATTTTTTTTTAACAGGCAGGCCCCAAAGGACTGATGCTTGAATTCAGATGGAAAAACTAGGAAGGCAGGTGACATAGGCCAAAGTGGTGGCCTCGACTCCCTGCATGCTTGTGCACTCTTTGAAGTGTAGAAATGGAAGATCCATGTCCAGGTCTGAATGATCCAGGTCTGGTGCCCAGAGTCCTCCTAGAATAACTGTGTGCTGTAGTCAAGCACAACAGCACCTCCTGCCATTATTATAAGACAGCCAGACAGATGGATCTGAACAAGAGCGGCAGGCTTACTGCCTGCTGGGCAAACACTGTAACAACCTCAACACAGCATTCCGCTCTTCTTTTCTAATGGAAGGTGCCAGGTGCGTTTGGCAGTACAGCGGTAGAGTCAAGTAGATTTACCTTGGTAATAAGCGAAAGAAACTTGCAGACCTTGATAATCTGGGGCCTGCAATAAACTAGAAATAACAAAACAAAGAGTGTAAATGTATCGAGTTACAAGGGACATGTCTGCTGGCTTCTTCCCACTGTCTATAGGACTACAAAGAAGAGTCAGGTAAGACTACCTAGTCACTGTGAGGTCTGATAGCTTATGTGTACAGAGGCTCCAACACAGAGGCCAGTCTTGGGAGGCTACTCTACCATGATTAACAGTTATGTGAAGGCCAGGTTAAGGGGATGTGTGTCTACATAGGAGAGTTTGGAAGAGCAGACAGAGGTGATCCACCACTAGCCATATTATTATTTCAACTCCAGCATTAACTCAAACACAATAGACCACGCAGAGATTAGGAAATCTGCTGAATGATTTCAAGCAGGCTGTGGTCACTAAGTGTCTCATTCTGTGTTTGAAGCACGTGCCAGAAACAACTCATTAAAAAGTGTTTACTAAGAACATGGTCTAAGAGAGTGAAAGGGGGAGGCAAAGAGAATTTACCGCCTAGAATTCAGTGGAAAACAGAAATGCATCTGCAATCGCAGGTAAATATTAGAAATGGGTATCTCTGCTACTTGAGGAAACAACTTTAAGAATTTGATTTCTTAACGTTAAAGTTAGAAGTAGCCAGGAAACAAACTGTGACAGTTTAGAAATATTTGTGATTTTGTGTGTATAAGAAAGGACATGTGTACGCTTGTACTGGCAACAAGGCGAGAGGACAGGATGGAAGGAGAGATCTAAGAACAATGGCCCTTGCCCAATATTTATAGCTTTCTCTCAAAGTCAAGGGCTTTAAGAACTCTGCTTAACTGTGAGAGGATGAGGAGATGTTTCAGGATATTAAAAAGAGCACTTCGAGAACTGGACCCAGTGCCAAGACAGGAGGCATAAAAGGTATCTCCCTATTTTCTTCTCATTACTAAAAATGGAAATATAGCTAGGTTCTTAGTAAGAGACCAGCTAATTCCAGGAAGCTGCCCTCACCCCTGAAGCCCAGCTGCTTGGATTTTCACTCATGCACTACAATTCTCTTCTTTCCTCCTTCTATCTCCTCTCCCTCTTCCTGACCTGCCCACATGAAGAAACTTTTTATTTATTCCCACTCCACCCACACCAAAAATATTCCATACATCTGCAGAGTGAAGGGGGATCTTGGCGGCTGTGACTGAATTGTCCTTCCTGGATTTATGTCTGCCACAGTCAATCAGGAAATCATATTTAAAAAGCAAATTCTTTCTGAAAATTTTATACACCATGAACAAATCCCATGGATTAACGATTTCCAGACATCACCCCTTTCACCTTGGGAGAAATCCAGGCTTTGGGTGGAAAAGATTTGGGGAAAAACAAAAATCAGGAAGATTGCTTCCACCACCCATTTTCTTTTTTTGTGAATAAACCTTCTCATGCCGTCCCTGAAAGAATCTATTACTCTTCTAGGAGGTTTAAATTGCTTACCTAAATGGATATCACTCTACTAATATTACTAGTCACTATTATTTGAAGATACAAAAGCCATGTTGACAAAAGCAGCTTGGCATAGAAAATACCCAGAAACCCTATAAAGTGTAGCTGACGTCATATCTTATACGTTAACAGCCAGGGGAATTCAGGATTAAATAACCGGGAGCATGACAAGTCCCGTGATCTCCAGTCACAGCATCCTTTCATGTATGTACAACTCCATCTTTGGGAGAAGGGTATGTGCCCCAATTCCCCCTGCTCCAGCCCAGGGCTCATTAAGTGCTGACTAAAGATCAACGCTGAAGTGTAGCAACAGAAAGGAGCAGTCCCACCGGAACGTGAGAGACAGAGCGGGCACAAAGATCAAACCCCGGCATCTGACAGAGCTGACAGCTCCTCACAGGGAAACAGCAGAGTACTATACTAGCAAGTGAAAAATGGGGTTCAGACAGGCTACAGGAGGGTTTTGAAGGATGGGGGTACATCAACACTGAAGATGGATAGTTACTCAAGCTAAGAAAGACTAAGAAGCCTCCTAGGTTAACTGAAAAGTGACTTGATGTGGTGTAAAAAATTTGCATGGATCTTCATATTTCTTTCATTTACCAGATTCTAACCCCACCTTGTATCACTTAGGAAAAGGCTTCTGTAATTGTGGACAGTGTTGATTATCCAATCAGCAAGGCAAGTGCAGGCTTACTTAGGTTTGCCTCCTAATCTGCAGTGAACAATTTCATATTTTCTTCACCACATCAAAGATTCTGCTTCTAAGTATCACTGGCACATGACTTCCCCAACTTCAAAACACCTTCCATAGAATCAAAGTCTCTGTTCAAATCACTGACAGGGATAGAATATCCGCATGGGTTTACTTGTGCTTATTTACTAATCTGTCGTGAACATCTAAGGAGCTTAGTGGGTAAGGAGCTGTGCTGCCAGTCCTAAGATACCTGGTTCGATTCTACCAGTTCACGTGAGAAAGATGGACAATTCCCTCCTGTGCAGTTTATAATGTCTGAAAACCTGCAGAGGCCAGCTCTGGGTCAGTTTTTATTTGAGGCAAAAACCCATGTAACAACAACAGTGATAATTTCACATGTGAAGCTGTTCAGCACATATCAGTAAGCGGAAGTAAGCCTGTATAGCAGAATTAGCAAGGAAATCCAAATGACGTACTGTGTTTCTGATTTAAGAAGAGTACACATTACAAATAAAAACATGAAGCCTAGGGCAAAAGAGTGAAACTGAAACTTTGACTCTGCAGATCAAGCAAAGACAACCCAAGGGAATGCTGAAAAATGCCTTTCTTCACCATGTTACTCTTAATGTTTTATTCGTGCTTTTTCTTGGTTCTTTCTAGATAGTACAAATTTAATCTTACAGACTTTAATAGCAACAAACAGGAGGAAGAGCTGTCTCCATACTTCAAACAATCTTCCCAAACACATGCACTTAACAGTTATGGTGGGTTTCTTCATACTCAGCTACTTGTGAGCTTCAGCAGCTAGAATAGTTTGTGAGATGTTGCTATCTGCAAGGAACAAAAGCCTTTCCTAGATCATCCACAGAGGGCAAAGTCTTTGCCATCTTGTTCAGCTAAGCACTAAGATCTCATATCTTTGGTCCAATACACTTCTGTCATTCATCTCTGTACTGAATAATCTGCACATCATTTCCAAGAAGAACCATAACAAAGGATATTGCCAAGCCATGCTAAGGCCTCAGGAGTCAGACTTCCTAGTGAGTTCAACGTCGTACATTCTGTGCCTGAAGGTTCTCAGCCTTCCCTGATTCCATAACATGCCCTTGCTCAGTGATCATGTGTATTTGAATCCATATGTGCACATGTACATACCCATAGAGTCAAAGAGAAAGACAGGGAGAGAGAAAGAAGGGGGCAGGGAATCAGGAGTGAAAGAGGAGGGAGAAGAGAGAGGGGCAGAGAGGGAAGGAAGAGAGGGACAGGAAGAAGGAGTGGGGGATGGAGAGGGAGGGAGAGAGAGAAAATATCTATGTATAT